GTCCAGGTATAATTTTCCTATCAGCATAATTAAGTGTTCTGGAATTCCCATTCTTCTCAATGTTCATCAAAGTTTGTTATGATACAGACCATCAAATTATCTTTGCACAGCAACAAACACAATAAAGGCATCTTCCTATTAATCAAGACCTATCTGACAAAGATATCCCTGGTGTTACAGCCTCTTCTAAAGCCAGCCTGTATTTGACATTTCAGCCAATATTCTAGTTGTTTTTAGATGATCTTCAGCAATATTTTGCTTGTATGCAATATTAATGATATTGTTTGATAATTTCCACATTCTATTGGGTTGCCTTTCTTGGGAATATGATTCAAGTCATAGTCTTTCCAATCACCTGCTATGCTTCTGAGTTGGACAAGGAAAGAAGATAAAAATAAATACCTTTGAGTTTTGGGATAGAGAAGAGTGCTAAATATCCCACAAACTTGTAAAATAGGTATGTTTGGGAAAAGTGGAACCAGAGTGCTCCTCAAATGAAAGAATGGCAAAGCTTTGTCTCAAATACTTTCGGCATGTTGTTAAGATAGGCTATTCCTTGGAGAGGAACATGATGCTTAGAAAGATGGTGGGTCAGCAAGAGAGTGGAAGAACTTCATTGAGATGAGATGCTACAAGTGATTGCGGCAAGTATATTGGGAATGAAAGAGATGGTGAAGAATAGGATAGGTTCAGATTTATTGTTCATAAGCTATGGATTGCTATGAGTCATACCTGATTCGATGGCACTTAACAAGAACAAAATATGGTTCTGACTCTAATTTCTTGAGGAATAAGCAATAGTAAGAATAAGCTCATTATGAGAATCATGTTAAATGATACCATAAAGATACAATCAGGAAATCCAGAATGTGGGACATTCTATGAGACAACTGGCAAGGAGCTTTTGTAAGTCAATGTTGGCATGGGGAGAACTCAAGGAGACTAGTTCAGGTTAATTAATCAACAGAAAATATGTGTTGTTTCTTAGATTAAAAACAAAATCTATGAAAGATAGCTTCAGGGACAATGGTAACAAAAATAACAAAGAATTAGCTTGTTCTTGTCGTGAACGGTCAAGTTGGAATCGACCCATAGCTGACCTTCCGGTGGGTTTTCAGAGGCAGTTTATCGCATGGGAGGAGACTTCTCTTCCTTCTCCCACAAAATTTGCTTAGATGTGATAATGATACAGGTTATATTATATACAAGAATGTCCTTATCCTTACAAGACATATTAAAGGATCCTGTAGTTTAAATTGACTGTGAATTTTAAAGATTCATACAAAAAGTATCTGTAAGTATATATACACACAATTAGACATAAAATATTGCAAATAGAAGGTGAGAGATATCTTAACACTATATTCTGAAGTATAATTTGTACATAAGTAACAAAAGTTAATTAAGTCGAGTTCATATCTAATGTCAGTCAAAACTATGTAAAGTTTGGTATATAGTGTACCATTCTATACACAACAAAAGTGGAGAAACACTTCTAGATATTCCAAAACATTTAACCTAACACAGTAGTTAACACATTGCCGCACACTTTTTAAATTGATGACCGTGCTTAGAAACACATTTGCCGTCATTTGTGGCAACATGTTAAAAACACTTTCATGTACACTGTAAAGCACTATTTGCTAATATGAACCATTACGTGTAACTGAAATTTTTAATAATGGGCTTTATGGGCATTAGTAGTTTCTAACTACAAAACTATTTAAGCCAGAGAGTTGTAATCGCAGGTTCGCTGTTAAAGGGCATCTAATCAAAAAGTTTAAAACAACTACAGTTCTAAAAACAGTTTGCTTCCTTGTTTCAACACCTCTAACCATCAAAATAACATCCAAACTACCCCTTCAACTCTTACCTCGTGGTAAACTATGCTTATTAATGTAGTATATAATAAGTCAACAGAACTTCCATTAGTCTAAAAGAAGCTGCAAACACACAATGACAATAGTACAGTGTTACCTGAGGCTAGGGACTCAGAAGATCAGCAAACGCGATATAACCACAAATTATCACTAACAAGACGCCAAACTTTGTTCAGCAGCGATAATAAGATTTTTAAATAATAACAGTTAAAATATTAGAGACTATCATTAGGAAGAGTATTTTTAAGTAGAAAAATAAAGAAAAAACCCCACAACTTAGCATGATAATTTCAAAAGAGGACATACTAGAAAGGTTATAAAATCAGATACTTTTGCTTAAAAAAAACAAGTGGGCATTTTATCAATATAAAACAAAATAATCTATGTATTTGACAAGAATATCTAAATGGAACATGATTCTGAAATAAAAGAGAATTCAACATAAGGCCGTTGATAAAAATACTTAGGTTGGGTAATATTTTATTCTAAGCATTACAAACCAGTTCAGCCACCAATTAAGAAAAAAAAAAAACCTGAAAATGAGATAGAATAAAAAATTTTAACAATATTTTTGCCATTCTATTTTAAGGGTGATACAGTCAGAAGTTATGACTAGTATAACTAGTAAATAAAGAAAATGAATGAGGGAAAGAAAAATAGTGATTTTAACATACTAAGCAGATAAAAAAAAATTGATGACGTAAGCCAGTGGACTTCATTTTAGAGAAGCAGTGTATATAATTTTTATAGTTGCATAGTTAATCATATAGTGTATTAATCTGACTTACATAAACTTGAAACTTTGGACTAAAGACATCTTCAAGCTGAATGATACATACATGAAAAGTTGTCTATGAGAAAAGGAGAGTGGTCTATCAAGCATTTAAATACAAAAATTAAGAATAAAATCAAACTTGGTAAGTTTTTAATATGGAGAAAGAAATGTTCTACACAGACACACAACAATGTCTCTCAAAAAGTAAGGGAAATAAATAACACCAAAGGAGGATCACAGTTAGAAAAGATTGTAAAATCGTATTAAGTACACACTGATCATATTAAGTGCACACCCTGAAGCATTCCTATTAGTTTAGGGCACTGACATAACATTCAGCTGACCATGTCATCTATTTGCAGTTCATGCTAGAGAGTACTTAAAAGACCAGTTCCTCCCAACCCTCCCCACATTTGGATGTATCTTTTTAGAAAAAGAAATCTCAAACTTTAAAAATAAAATTAAATTTGTCTCACAAGACGGTTAGTTCATTTTATGAATAAGATTCCATTTCATTCCAAAGTATGACTGCAAGTTAAACTGTAGGTAAGCTAGAATAGGTGCACATGGTTTTTACTTAAATGCAAGAGGCTGGAAGCACATGTAATCAGTGAAGATGATTATGATAAAGAATTTGTTCTAAGTAAGTGTTGGTCCAATCTTTTCAAAATGAAGACAAATTTACATAAAACATTAAAGGGCAAGTACTGAGTTGGACGTTTGTAATCTGGGAACTGCCTATAATTAATTCTATTCTTTCCAGTAATAGACAATAGTATTTTAGAAAAGATTTTTATAAAAGTACAACACAAAGGTTCCAGAACAAAATACTTGGTGTTCATAAATATTCCTTTCCTATTCCCACCCTTGCCATGTCATTTGAAAAGATTAGAATATTTATCCCTGGTATTTTCAGTCTTAATAAATAAAAAGCAGAAACTAGTAATAATCAGTTTAAAGTATTTACCATTTAAACTTTCATAAGACAGATAATATAATTTGTACAATTATACAACTGTTAATTTGCTATGAGTCAGAGAGCTGGAAAATGACTAGGGATGACTAAAGGAGAAGTGATGCTTTTGAGCTGTGGTGCCGGAAAAGAGTGTTGAATATACCATGGACTGCTAGGAAAACAAACAGGTTCGTCCTAGAGAGGGTGAATCTGGGCTGTTCCTTGGAGGTGAGGATTCTGAGGCTTCGTCTGACATACTTTGGACATGTTGCAAGGAGGGACCAGTCCTTGGAGAAGGACATCATGCTTGGAAGGGTGGAGGGATGGAGAAGGAGACCATCGATGAGATGGATTGATACAGTGACTGGGGTAGTGAGGGAAGATGTCTTGGAGACAATAAAGTTGGCACAGGACAGAGTAGGTTTCAGGGCTGTTGTACACAGGGTCGCTATGAGTCACAAGCAACTTGACGGCACAGAACAACAACAACAATTGAAGAAAAATGTGTAAGCACTGTAATAAAGAGTACAGTTGTGGGCATTTTTGTTTGTTTTCATTTTAACATACCTAGACTTTCATAGAATAAACATAATGGAAAATTTGTAATTGATTTTATGGCAAGGAAAACATAAAAATTAAAATGGAAAATTATTAACTTGCTATTTGTAAAGTGGAATATTTCAAAATATATTGAGAAATAAAATATGAAATTGGGAAGTTTATTAGTAAAGCTAAATATTCAAACTGTAAAGGAAAAAAAATTACATTGCCTGTTGATATTTATAAAAAAAATCCCAAATTACTAACAGCATTAAAACAAATATGATTGTAAACTATCACTTAAATAAAAGTAACTTTTAAAGAAGAGAGAAAAGGATTGCTAAAATTTTAAACAATATAAGGATTGGATTCAAAATTTAGAATGACTATTTGAGAATCATTAGGAATACACAGCATAAGAACAAAATCATTAGCTGAAGATGGTGTTTTAAATTTGGACATAAGAAATTAAGTCACCATGAAAAAGATTCTTCTCCAAAAATGAAACATTTGTCAAAGACTAAACGAGATATCGGATTACAACAGTCTCAGAAAATACAAATTAAATTTTCATTTAAGGTAGGAAATTTGTTAATTCATTTAATTTAGTGCTAAGCTCAATTTTTCAGGGGTTTAAATGAAATTTAATTATAATTATTATTTACGGAAAAAAGTTAAAAATGTCAGTGGAAAACATTTTTCAGATGGAATAAAAGCAACACATTCAAAAACATTTCAGAATAGGAAGCTGAAAATAATTCCATTAGATCAATTTTAAGAGCAGCCCAAAAATCCAGTCTGAAAGAACAATAAATACATAAAATGCTAATCAAAACTAGGAAGATAGATTACTATGAAATATCTACTTATATCCAATTTAATAAAAGCATTAAAGTTTATAATGTGTTAAAGACACATTTAAAAAGACTAAAAGTGGGGCAAGACAGGTGAATCAAATTTGTATTCTAAAAAATCACAAAAGACTCTGAACACGTAGTGTTAATTCATGGTTCTTTTTTGTTTTCCAGTTTAAAAATTTCTAGTCAACGCCTCTATCTTTGGTGTCACTGCCACCAATAAACACAGTATACAGCTTAAAAACCTAATTTCTATGTTCAACCAGGAAAAAACCAAAACTGACATTATTTTCTTAATAATAAGATATAAAGAATGTGATCCTATTTCATTTGTCACATGGTCCCACAATATTTTGAAATATCACGCCAATATGCAAAAGTTTTAATAGGGAAATTTCTAATTTACTATATATCCGCACCAATATTTAGCTATTGTACACTGGTGTGATGACAGCTGGTAGTGTGCAGAGGCTACAGAAAGTTGTATTATACATTTTAGCTCACAGTTGGTAAAATGAAAGTTGAGTTTAATGCGAAACTAAAACAAGGACAACATAATGCCTTCATGGAAATACCAGACAATTTTCTTCTTTTGCAGTTTAAAAAGACATTATAACTATCTTAAAGTCACATAAAACATTATGAAACATGGTAGTGGTTCATGATTAAGATAAAATAGTAATGTAAATGAATTTAACAGTGTTAAATATATTCACATGATCACTACTGTGATTCAAATGGCCACTAATAAAGTTATACATCAATACATATGTACATCGTATTCGTCACAACAGCTTTCTGTAAGTGTGACCTTTTTTTCAGAATAGGTAATTTTACAAGACAATCCTATTTCAATTCTTTCATATTATGAAAGGAATTAAATGTTGTAAGTAGTTTCATTCCTTTGGGTGGAAGGTAGAGAGTAGGAGAACTCTTAAAAGGTCAGTGCAAATTGAATTGAGTTCTATTTTCTTGAGTATTTAAATTTGTCGACCAAGACAGATTCCTATAAGTTGAGGATAAACAAATCTTAAGACATTAAAGAATCTCATAATGTTGTCGGCTGCATATAAGTGCCACAAAGGGGAATCCATGTCCTATAGAAGAGCCTTCTGAGAATATGGTTGCTGTGGCTGAGGTGGTTGTTGACCGCCTGCCGGCTGAGGCAGAGTTGTTGATGTCAAGCTATAGTTTGGCACCTGGGTCATATTAGTTCCTGCATTCTGGTATATAGTAACATCAGCAGCAGCAGCAGCAGCAGCAGGAGGAGGAGGAGGACTATATACTGAAGCCTGGTTGGGATATGTATTTCCTTGGACAGAACTGACCATTGTGCTGTAAAGGGGGGGAGAGGGAAACACAATGCATTAGAGAAATAATGAAGGATAGATATTTATAGATAAACAAGAAAGCTGATTATTCATTAATATAATAAATATTAAGTCAATAATGCTCAGAAATCCATTATTTTAAGTAATGATATACCATAAAGAATGAGAAAAAAGACCCCAGCATGGTACAGTTTATACTCTAGTAGGGATAAAAAAGAAAGACAATGACTTTATGTTAAGTGGTAATGATAGCTATGAAGAAAATAAAGCATGGTAGGAGAGGTCAAGACTACCTAGGTAAGGGATTCTAGTTCATAATAGGGTGACAAAGGCGGCTTTTCAGAAAAAGAAATATTTTACAGAGACCTGAAAAAAAGAGAGGGAGTAAGTCAAAAGAAAGCATTATTTCTGGAAAATACAATAGCAAGTCAAGTAGGCCCTGAAGAGAAAAAATGCTTGGTGAGTTCAAGGGTCAGAAGGGGCCATAATGGCTGCAGAAGAATGAGGGACTGAAGGAGTGACAGGTACAAGGTAAAACAACAGGATGAAAAGGGAGGGAGACTAAAACACAGAGTGTCTTGCAGAGCATAATCATGATTCTGGCTTATATTTTGAGTAAGATGGAAAGCCACTGTTGGTTTTAGGCTAAAGAGTAATGTAATCTGATTTGTATTTTAACAAGCTCACTCTGGGGACAGAGACAGAAATAAAAGTACCTGACTGGAACCTATGGCAGTATTCCAAATGAGACCTGATAGACAAATCTGGACCATTTTGGTAATGACAGAAATAGAGGACAGGGTTCTAGATATATCTTGAAGGCAGAGCCATCAAAATTTGCTAGTGAAGAGAGTAGTCAGTGTTTTGAAGATTTAGAACTAAACAAATGGTAGAACAGCAGAATAACAAGTAGAGGTCTTCTTTTTTGAAAAGAGTAAGACAGAAGTATAGTAAGTTTATGACAGGAAAATCAAAGTGTAGATTTGGGTATGTCAAGTAAGAAATCTAAGGGATAATAAGTAGGGAGTCAACTATTCAAGTATGGAGTCCAGTGGAGAGAGGTTAGGACTAAACTAGTTTATCATCAGCATATAAAAGGTATTCAGAGTTAATAGGTTCAGTAAAATCCCTTGAAAATCAGTGCTAACAGAGAAGAAAAAGCAAGTCACTTAATAGATGGCTACAGTTCAAAGTTAGGAAGATTAAAAGGTTCTGGGCATAGGAATTCTGGTGAATTAGAGGGTAAGATGTTGTGCTGTCAACCAAAAGGCAGGCAGTTCAAATCCATCAGCTGTTTCACTTTGCTAGCAATATCCTTATTTCTTAAGACACAGATACATATACACACTTGCTTTTATATATACGTACATATTTAATACAGCAAACACAAAACTCAGACATTGCTGTCAAGCTGGCACTGACTCATAGCTGACCCTTTGAAATCAGGCCCTTCAGTGGGTTTTCAGGAAGCTCTAAAGCACACTCATCATTCTCCTGTGAAGCCACTGGTGAATTCAGACTACCCAAGAAGACTGCCTTTGGGTTAGGAGTACCACTACACCACTAAAGATCCCAACATACATAAAATGCCCTCATTTTTGTTAAGCCCGTTCAAGGAATTAAAAACACAGCTCACAAGCCCACCTATAGCGACATCATTAAAACGTAAGTAAAACGTAGCAGAGTTGTGTGTGGAAGCATGGTGTGCTGGGCCAATATAGTTCTGAACTTGTACCAGATATAAGACATCAACACAAAGTGTGGATATAAAGGTGAAAAGTACTCTGTTCTGGCTGTCAAGATATTATACTTTAGTAGTTTAGTGGAGATAAAGAGAACATGCAGTGCACAGAAGGAAATACACCTACTTTTCATTTATCGATTACCTTGTTACCTGACATTTCAAGTTTATAACAATGATAAAGTCTAGTATCTCACTATATTGTGTATTCAATATGCATGTCTAGCAGTAGTGAGCACTAAGGTATACAGCAAGAGTAATGCTGGCTTTAATGGTTTCAAATTAGCTAGCCATGACCCTCAGTAGTTTGGAAATCATGTAATTTGGTAGTTATGCAATGATTTTGTGCTCATCCATTTTGTGCTCAAATAATGCTTATTTTTCTGTAACAGCAGTTTTTTTATACTATGTGGATAAGTGAGGAGTAGGTGTACAAGATCCTATGACAGCATATTAAAGGAAAATACGAACTGATGGATAGATGGGAAGGATGAGAGGCTTCAAGTAAAAGTGATAGCTAACGTAAAAAATAAACAGGAATTATCTAGACAAAAGGATTAAATAGTTCAAGGAATTTCTCTCCAAAATATCATTTGTTGTAATGGATATGTGTTTCTTGAGGTGACACTAATAGCTGTTACATACATAGCACCAGGTCAAGCCCATAAACCCTGCAACATGCCAGGGACTGTACACACTGTCTGTAGACAGAGAAACCTCAAAATTAAGTCACTGGGGCTATAGCTTCATAGCACCTCACAATTAAAGCCCTGTCAACTCATCTCCTTTACAAGGATAGTTTACAAAGGCCTCAAACTTTAAGAAGGAGTTCCAAGTAATCTCTCTCCAGTAACAAGAAAGATCAGTAAATGGCTCAGTAAAACAGAGAACTTAACTAGAATAAAGTCAATACTTCAGTATTTAAGTAGTTCCTGGCAGCACTGGTTTGACTTCTCAGCAACACCTACTTTTATCTACTTTGACTGTAGTTCTAAAACTATCCTTGTCAGAATAAAAAGATGTTTATTTTCCCTGAGTATTCACTCGAACCAGATTTCAACTTTAAGAGAAAAAAGTCTGGGACAGAAAAAGCTACTCTAAAATTTCTTCTTGAGCTATCTAAACTAGCAGGAAGGATCCTGTTTGTGACATCACACCACAACTCAACACTATCTTCCTTCTTAAGGTCACTTCAGAATACTAGATCCTTCAACAAACGAATGGCTAGAGAAGCTGTGGTATATTCACAATGGAATACTATGCTGCATTAAAAAACAAGGAACTCATGAAATATTATTCAAAATGGGTGACCCTGCAGGACATTACGCTAAGTGAAATATCTCAGACAGAAAAGGACAAATACTGCATAGTGCCACTGTTGTAAAACAGGACTGAAATTGGGGTTTGAGGGAGACTGAGAAAGATGGAATAAATTATGTATACTGCATTGAAACAGATGTGAGAGAGAACTGTTTAAAAGGGATATATGATTAGGTATTATTGTCATGAAAGGAGTCCAGAACGAAGACTGCATAGTGGAGTGGACCTCGGGGGAGGGATTGTAAAACAATGAAAGAATTTTTCCTTTACTTTTCAAAGAGAAGAGTGTACTGGGAGGGGAGGGGTGGGCAGGGAGAAAAGTGCAACAACGAATGAATGGAAATTCAAAATCTTTGTAAATTTTCATTACTATTAATAATTTTTAAAAAGATTTTTTTAAAAAAAGAATACTAGATCCTAAAAACTGTGCCTTTGCCACTTAGAAACTTTTTTTGCAAGACTGAAAGGGGTATAATAATTTTTTTTCTTCCGAGAAAAATAAACTGGGGGAGGGGTGGGCAGGGATGAAAATGAGCAACAATGAATGAATGGAGGGAAAATTAAATAGAAAGAATATGCTATAGAAAAATATATGTGTTGCATTTAAAAAATCATTAATAATAAAAAAAAAAACCACAAAACAAAAAAAACTTCTATGATACATGCTCATGAACCTACCCTTTTTTTATATCAAGGGAAAGAAAGCCTTCAGTTTGGGGTCCTACTGAACTTGATAATAACTGGAATTCATGGAAGTAGATTGCCACATCTTTCTTCCGTGAAGCAGCTGGTGGGTTTGTACTGCAACCTTGTGGTTAGTAGCCAAACATGTATCTACTGAGCCAACAGGGCTCCTTTTAACTACATACATACACTGTATGTAAATGACAAAAATTTTTAAGTAACCATCCATTATCTCAAATTCAGCTACCTGCCTCAAGAACAACAGGGACATACATCTGGTCTTTTCTACTAATGAACTTTCTGGCAATATAAATTAAATTCCAACGTAGGGCAGAGAAGGAAATAGTTGTCTTTAAGCCCAGAAGTATAAATTCTAAAATAATAACAAAAATATTTTGGGTTTATATCAAATTTGGGATAAAATTATTAATTCTAGTTCTCAAATTTAAGTTTCATTAAAGTCTTTATCAAATATAATAATAAAATTAAGTATAAACAAAACCTAAAAACTTTCGTTAGGAATATAAAAACTATGTACCTAAAAACAGAGAGCTGTTTAGTGAATCAGTAAAACAGAGAAGTGGTTTATTGGCTAGCACTAAAACATCTCCAGAGTTTCTGCAGGACTTAGTCATCATCACAAATATGGCTAAACTGTTTAATAATAGCAACTGTCTATCACTGTTTTTTTGTCATATATTGTTCTCACGGGTCGAGATGATCATGGAGTACTTAAGATTTCTAATAGCACCAACTCTATGAAATCGTTAATAATCAAATTACTTAGGATAAGATGTCTGAGCTTGTTGATTAGGAAGGGCTGGGTTTGCAGATGGTGGAACTGCTCCTTGGCTGAGAGAAGACAGCTGCTCCGGGGGAAGACTGTAGCTCTGGAGATGGCTCATCTGTGCATTCCCTGCAACCAGATAAGCACCACTTTGAGGAGGCCCTGGATATACCTAAAACAGTTAATGATAAAATGTATTAGAGAAGAAATAAGTACTTTCCTTATAAATCAGTTCTGCTAAAATTTTAATAGACATGCCAAACTTTCTTTGCAAAGATAATCAATTTAAAAAAGAACAAATTTATTTTTGCAGTTCTGGGCTTTTCAAGTCATATTTGCTGACATTAAACAGTTTCTAGTGAAGTGGTGTTTAGGTAACTCTTTCCATGGATAAACATGAATGCCTGGATAATTACGACCTATAATCTGAAGTTATTCAATTTGTGGGTAAGAGCTATCAAAATAACTGCTTAAAGGAATAGGAAAAAAGAAAAAACTCTATATATGTCATATTGCATGTATTTACACATGGGGGTGGTGGGTAAGGAAATCCAGATTAATGTAGTTCACTAAAAAAAAACTGGAAATAGAATAATTTAGAGCTAACTAGAAATTCTATTCAGAGAAACTCACTGTCCAATCAAAAAGGACTCATAGCCAACCCTCCCGCAGGTTTCTAAGGCTGAAAACTGCACAGGAAGTGACTGCCCATCTTCCAACTACAGTCCCTAATGGATTCAAACTGCCAGAGAGGTGCAGCACAACCACCTTCAGGCTAGGCCACCAGCGCCCTCCCAGTAGGCTCGAGCGTGGGTGGAGATTTTGAGGCTCTAAGGTTTCTACATGTTGTTCATATGGTCTGTAACCAGAGCTGATTCAGTAGCACTTAACAACTGTGAGAGAGCAAAACTGTAGCTATTGGGCAGATCATTAACAGATAATCATCTTTTAAATATACAGATGTTTAGGACTCACCCCTAAAGACTGGTTCAGTAGATCTGCAGAGGGGTAAAAATGTATTTAAATCAGAGGAGAAAGGAGCTGATGTGTGATTTAGAGGTACCACTGTGCATACTCATACACATATGTATATACAAAATTCTGCAGATCTGATTAATTTATCCAGTAAAAAGTTATTTTGAACTTTATCTTTATTCTAAATATTACTTTTCTAATTTCACATTTTATAAAAACAAAGTTAAGCCCAACAACCTTTAATGTAAAAGAATACACTTGAGTTTTTAAAAGCTTACCTGAGAACCTGAAACACCAGGTGACTGCATATAATACTGCTGATTCTGTAATTTTGCATACATGGAATACATTGGATCTTCATTCATTAACTTTGTATACAATGAAAGTGCTTCCATTACTTTTACATTAAGTTCTGAGAGTTCTGAATGTTTCCTGAAACATTAGAGTATTTTAAACAAGTTTAAAAGACACAATGTTCATTACATAACAAAAATAACAAAGGTGGCAATACCAAACATTATTAAAGCACCAACATTATGACAGAAAATATTCTGTTATTTATTTTAGCCTCTACATAAGCAAAGCTCTTTAAGGTTTTAGTTACTATGCTGAGTGAGGAGACTAGCTAATTACAATTAATTGTACCTTGTAAGATTTATGATTCTCCAGTTACCAACAAATAGAGGCATCAGTGGACATTGATAATGCCAAGTCAGCAAAAGTTATTATATTAGTTAAGCAACTATAAGTCAAAGACACTACATAGTTTAGAAGGAACTTCAGGGAAGAAAATGGACCACAAGCATGAAGTAAATGATTTGCTTTGGGTTTTTTACCTATCAATATCTTCCAATTTTTCATCAATGAGAGGTCCCATCTGGTGACACATTGCTGTGATAAGTATAAGACAAAATAGAAAAAAAAAGAAAATGTTTAATAAATAGTCATATATTTTAAGGAAGAAATGTTTCATTTGGCATAATGAAGTTATTTTGGTAATTCTCAATTAACAGAACTGAAGACACACTACACAACTGCGACACTTTAATCTGCACTGTTGACCTCAAAATCTAAAAATATCATAGTTGAGGAACCAACTCATAGATGATGGTGGGTTTTCAGAGGCAGTTAATCACATAAGAAAAGACTGCCCATCCTTCTCCCACATAGCAGCTGGTGGCCTCAAACTGCATGTCTTTGGGATGGCAGTGCAGCTTCTTGCCATGAGGCTACCAGAGATACTACCAAAAAACCCACTGCTATCAAACTCATTCTGACTCATAAGAAGAACGCTGTAAATATCACAGAATTTTAAAATGTTGAAGAAAAAAATTAAATTAGACAAAAGTGTATAAAATTCAAAATGTACCAGAGGTTTAAACTGCCTATAAAAGTAAAAATGTGTTAAGAAAAGTGAAAAATGCACTTA